GATCTATCTCTGGGGTTTAGGGAGTGAGATGGAGTTCTTACCAGCTGCTCTGAGTGCAGTGGCTCCTGGATGACTCAGGATTCAGTTTCTCAACAGGACGGGAGCAGACCGACTCTGTGTCTGCTCTCTTAAGGATTTCTATAAGACTGCATTTTAAGATAAATAATATGATGATTGATTCTTTCTTTGTAACTGTGAAGTTCAGCCTGCCAACAAGAGAGACTTGCTGTAAATGGTATGTTGCTAACTTACATTTTGTTAATTTATAATAAGTTGCTTAGGCATGATTGTGAATGGGTTCTTGGAAATACTTTGTCTTTTCCTTGTATTACACAAAATGTTTAATCATGTAATGGTATTAGGGAAGATAGTGTTTTCTTTTACTTAGGTAAAAGAAACAAACGAAAAATTCACAGAAACAAAAATAGAGTAGAATCACATTGTCATTGTTATATTGTTTGAAAGATTTTGCTAGGATATATAATCTACTGGAGAAGAAATAAACTTTTGGAGCTTGTGGAACCTGGCATCATACATGGTATATGAGTAGTGTGTGTGTGTGTGTGTGTGTGTGTGTGTGTGTGTGTGTGTGTATTCCCTCTCTCTTTTCTCTGGCCCCAGAGAGTTTTCTCTGGGAAACAAAAAAAATTAAAGTTTACTCCTTCAGAAATAAGTTTGCTGAGAGATTAATTGCCTACTCCATACTCTCCTTAAATTCATCTGACCTGTTGAAACTGTCTTCAACAGGCATTTATATTTAAGAACTTATTATAACACATACCCCCAAAGTTGTTGCTTGTAGATAGGATTTGTTTTTGTAGCTGGGATGCCTTGTCTGGCCTCAGTGGGAAAGGACGTGCCTAGCCTTACAGGGGCTTGAAGTGCTAGAGTGAGTGGGGATAACCAGGAGAGGTTTTCCCATCCAGGTAAATGGGGAGGTAAGAGGGGTGAAGGACTGTGGGAGGGAATGTTCAGGAGGGAGGCAGTGAGCAGGTTGTAAAGTGAAAAAGCCAAAAAATAATAAATTAAAATTAAAAAAGAAAAGCCCTTCTTTTTCATGATGTGCTACCCAATCATATATTTCTAGAATTAATTTCTATAGTTGATCAAGATTTTCATACTATTTCAGTATCTGAGTTATAGGGAACTGTGGAATCAAAGTTATATTAACCTCATGAAGTGAGAAGCATTTTCAACTCTTATTCTGGAAAAATCCTATATAATACAGAAATATTTTATTCTCAAATAAAAAATAAATTTCCTAGTTAAATTTATATTTTTATAAATATACTGCTTTTGCTTTATGTCCTTTGTTCTGCTAGGTTCTTTTCTAGAAACTTAAAGCTTTACACATTACTTTGATTTTCTAATAATCAAAGAAAATTATTCAATCTCCATGGATTTGTACAACTTTAAAGTATACTTTTTCCTATTTGTTTCTATTTTTTATTATTTGATAAAACACAAGAAAGAATCAAATTTTACTTTTGTTAAGAATACTTTCTGTGATAAATTATGATCTGTTGTAGGGAAATTATCTCTTGATAAGACCATGTATTTTACACTTGTTTTATAGCTTACCTTGTAGGTTTTTGATATGCCAATGAGTTACATTTTACATTTTAAATCTGAAGAATTTTTTGTTGTAGCTCTTTTGTGTGTTGTTCTGAAAGATTATTTGTGGATGACAGTGGTATATACCAGAGACTTATTCTTTTTTCCCTGATGAATATCTCTCTTCCCCTCTATCAGTCATTACTTAATAAAGTCTTGTGAACCAACACTCAGTATGTATATTTAAAGTTGTAGCTTCTCAGTGGATTGTTTCCTTTTTTACATGTAGTGGTACTCTTTTGTTTTTCTATGCTTGGCTTTAAAGTTTCTGTTCAAGATGTTTGTCACCAATTCAAGGCAGTCTAATGATTTTCTTTTTCTTTTGAGTATCAATTTTTTTCACATATTCACTTCTATCTGTGTACATCGTTGTATTAAGAGTCTTTTAAAATATCAAAATAAACACCTGAAACCTTTAAACTGGAGACTTCCTTTCCATTTTTAGTGTTATTAATTCATCTTTTATATAATGAGGGGTACCATGATTGACTCAAACATTGCTGACAGTTCAAACCAAGTTCAGTATATTGCACACTTACAATGTTTGCCATCATTTATGGTGAAAACACAATCCTGTCCTGTAAAGATTTGATAATCCAAGAAACTTCATTGACCTTATGTTTGCATTGATCATAGCTTAGATCGCTTCCAGAAAACTTTCCGTGTCCTTCTCTCAACCATACTGTTTTCATGGAAACCAACATCATCCTATACCCTCTGTGAGATCAGCTTCTTAGAGCTGATATATGAGAAAAGTCACACAGTATTTATTTTCTTCTTCTTGACTAACTTCAGTTAACATGCCATAGTTTTGTCCATAGTTATTACAGATTAGTTTCTTTCTTTTAAATGCTTATATAGTATTATGTGCTGTGCATTTTCATCATATTTTTCCCCTAGGTCATCTGTAGATACACTTTGACATGAATTATATTTAGAAGAGAAACTAGAAGCCTAAAGGAACTTTGTGCATATTTTTATTCTTTTAGCAATATACTAGGAAATAAAATATTTATCATGCTGAAATAAATTGAATTAATATTTGAAAATTTTGATGGTATAGAATAAAAATTCAGACATTTTCAACAATGTCTTTAAAACCATATATATTTATCTGATGTTGATTCAAATTTTTGTTTAATCAAAAATGTTTTTTCTAATAATATCTAATAAATGAATTAAAATTACAAAACAATAATGTTTTAATTTATTTTCTCAGTTTTAATATGAAAGTAATTAGTTAAAGCCTTAGAACAACAGGAAGTGATTCATGTATCTACATGGGAGGTTGAACATAAGACTGATGGTCACTCTGTGTATGTATCTCAGTGTTTGTTTGTCTATCTCTGCTCCTTCACGCCCCTCCTCTGTGTTTGAGTGTGTGTATGTCTCTTTCTATGTGTTAGCCACATAAGAAAGAACATGTTCAAGACAGATACAATTTTAGTTCCGGTACTATCATGATAAGCGGTCTTGTGATCACCTTTAGAGGTGAGTTATAATATATAACCCAAATATGTCATTTGACATGCAGTCCTGAAGAATGTCAGGATAAGATCTAAGTCTACTAGCCTCCACAATGAAGGACATATACTATTTTCCAATATTCACAAAATTCAATATTGTCAGAAAGGACACATGAACTAACTCAAGGCACAGGGTTGTCAAAGAATAAGTTGAAACCAGAGATAAAATCATTAATACATTTTTCCCTCAGTCCATAGGCAGATTATACTGAGAAAAGTGGAATATAAACAGGACAAGGCCACACAAGAAATATTAATAAGCTTAAGCAAAACAAATAAAACACATAATACAGGACATAAGAGAGAAAACTCATTGGCTATAATCACAAAAGAAAACTTAGGCAATCAGTGAGGTCTTACGGAAACTTAAAACAGGGATGTGCCCACTGAGTCACAGCTCTCAACAGTGATGAGGTCCAGGAACAGGATATTTCCCATTCTGTAGAGTCCCAGTCAAGCCAGTCATGCATGGATTTGCATTTCGCTTTGGAAATTTTGGGACCTTCCCACTATCAGTCAGTGTTGTTCCCACTGGACTGTCCAGCTAGTTCTATAAATTGGTGCTTGACTGTGAGACTGCAGACTCCTGGTACTCAAGTGGTAGACTACTTTGGAGAAACTCGTGAATAACCTGGTGAGTGTCTTTTCTTGAGTTGGTCTGTCTTTTTGTTCTTCCTATATGCTGTAGTCAATTTTAAGGGAGTAAGTGTTTTGAATTCAGTTTTGATCATGGGATGAATGGTACCTACCTACCAGTCAGAAACATAGGAATGGATACAACAGTCAAGAGTGATAAGTGGCTTTTTTTTACATTTGGTAAGCTGTAGAACAGAGGACATTTCTCTTTCATGTGCATCTTTTGGTGTTCTTTGAAAAACTATATACCTTAGTAGGTATTAGAACCTGACACTTTCCTGAGCTGTCCTTTACTGTCCAGTCCTAGACAACCTGCTGGGGTGATACATGTAATGAAGAGGACAGAAACTGGTGTTGTTATTTCTCAGGGAACTAGTACTTGAATACTTGAAGGTGTTTCCTTCTGTAAACTGCATTACTTGTTTCTCTGGAACAAAATACTTTCTCTTAAGAAAAGGTCTGAAACACAGTAGCATTTCCCAAGGCTGCTGCCACAGAGTGCTGACAGGAAAGGGAAAAGCCAACTAGCTCTAAAATAGGAATTGGGAAGTAATGTTGATGTTCAGAGGGACTAATGGATTTCAAGCTCCATAGTTCCATCTATCTTTTCTGAATTGGTCACCCCTGAACACTCTCATGTCATCTCTTTCAGGTCCTGAGACTCCAGCACTATGTCTAACCAACAGCAGCAGTGCAAGCAGCCTTGCCAGCCTCCTCCTGTTTGTCTGCCCCCGAAGTGCCCTGAGCCTTGTCCTCTTCCAAAGTGCCCTGAGCCTTGTCCTCCCCCAAAGTGCCTTGAGCCTTGCCTTCCTCCAAAATGCTCAGAGCCTTTTCCTTCTCCAAAGTGCCCAGAGCCTTGTCCTGAGCCATGTCCCCCTCCCTCATACCAGCAGAAATGCCCTCCTGTGCAACTTCCTCCACCCTGTCAGCAGAAGTGTCCACCCAAGAGCAAGTGAGGCCTTTAGCAGTCATTAGGACAAGGGGAAGAGAAGAGAACACATCTCATGTACTTCCAAAGCAACACTTCCATCTTCCTCCCCAAAGCCTGTCATGGATGAAGAGGAATCTTTTCCACCTTTCATCCTCCATGTACCCGTGATGACCTCTCACAGGGAAGGCATTTCCCTGAGGTTGTCCTGCTTTTTCTCTCACACGAGCTGCTGAAAATATATGTTCTTATTTGTTGAGTGTTCCAAACGCTCAGAGAGAATAAAAGCTGCTGTCTATACTGTGCACTCAGAAGATTTTTTTTCATAACTGTCATTCATCTTACTTGTTGTGTTGTCACTGTGGTTTCATTTCCTGAATAAAGCACAATCTGATTAATGGTATTCATGTGTCCATTTTTCTGAAATGTACTCTGCTGCCTCCCTGATATGCTCATATTCCTTTATTTTTCTTCATTGATCTTCAGTTCATTTTGTTGTGATCAGGTTTGACTCTATTTGAATCATAAAAAGAATTACTTTGTGTTGATTTACTTAATAGAAGCATTATTTCATTCTAACTACAATGTCTCCTTTATCACATGATGACTTAGAAAGAGTATCTGATATTCAGATATGCATGTGCCACTTGAGACATACTCCTCCTACATTCTGCTAACTTCCCCATGTATTTTACATTCCCTTTTCTCCTTCCTCTGACATAATAATTACACATTAATATAAATTACTTTTTCTGCTTCTGTATTTGAAACCACTATGCAATTTTTTCTTTTAGAATGTCTATATTTTTCTTAATATAATGGCATACACTTTCATTCATTTTTCTGAAAACATGATCCATTGTTCATTTTTACTGATTATTATTCTAGTTCATATATGTGCTATATTTTCTTAATCTGTTCATTCACTGGTAAGATGCTAGGTTGATTATTTATGTTGAATATTAGGAGTAGTAGTGAGAAATAGATGGATTTTCATGCAACTTTACTTTATGCTCTATAAGGACTTTTGAAAAAATATATGAACCCAAGTGATACTGCTGAATCATATGTTAGCTTTGCTTTAGTGTTACTTATTTGGAAGACTCCACACTGATATCCATATTTTGTAACTTAATCTCTTCTCTCACAATCTAAGAATTTGTTTTCCTTTTCTGCACTCCTCTGCCCGGTCCTGTTATTATGTTGGTGGTACTCATTCTTACATGAGTATAATGATTTTCTGATGCATTTTGGGTTTTTTTTCTTAAATGACTGGAAATGTTGAATATTTTCTTGTTATTGTTATTTGTAGAAACTCTTAATTTTGCCCCAAACTTATCTTTGGTTATAATTGAACTAATTCACTCCATTTGATTGGCACAGTCTTCAGCATCTAATTCATACTATGTAAGTGATTGTTTTAAAAGCTGCTGGTTTCCACTACCTGTTTCTATTACCTTCACTAACATCTCATTTCTATTTGCAAGATTACTATCAATATTACCAGTCCCACCACCATTACCACAAACAGTACAAGCTATCACACTATCCATCACTGCCTACCTTTACTACTATTGTGGTCCTCATTACTATCACCCTCAGTAAGAGCATCATATCCGTCACTAGTTATATGCCACTTTTCTCCAGAACCAACAGCATCACTTGTTTTTTTTTTTTTATAATTTTTTTTCCCTCAAATTGTGATTCATTCACACAGGGGTTATAAACACAGAAAGGCAGGATGTGGGGAAGGGAATGACAATGGAGTGTGGGTGTTCAGGGAGAATACAGATATCTTCAGAACCGGGTATCGGCTGGGTGAAGGTTCAGGGGACAAGTCACTATGACTCTGCCTATGACTCGCTTGTCCTTATCTAAGATGGTATTGTCTGCCAAGGCTACCTATTTCCAAGGTATATGACTACTCAGGCTTGTAAATTTCCACAAAAGCTGCCTGTTGACATTAGCTTATAGCCATCTGTTTCAATGTTTTTCCACTGAGACCCAAGACTTTGTGTTAGTATACATGTATGACAGGCCTATTGCTAATTTTAGGCCTATGGCTGATTTTAGGCCTTCAGTGTGTAAGCAGGGCTGCCCCTGACATCTCCTCCCTTCTCTAAGTATAGAAGGGTGGCTGTGGCAATTCTAAACTTGCGAAGGTGGGGATAGAGGCCTGACCTCCAGTATTTGAAGGGGACCTTGTAATGGCTCCAGTCCCCCTGTCGTTGTCCAGTGAGGCATGAGGGCCATACCCATCCCGATGTGTTTTTCCTGGAGAGGGGATACGTTTGACATCAACCCCTGTGCAGTCAGGCTTGTCCCTCAGGGAACCCAGAGAGATATTGTTATCTTTTATTTATATTCCCTTGCAGTGCTTAGCCTCGCAGCCTAAGCAAGAATTCAGATCCCCTGTCAGAGGGTGTTCTGGGTGGCCCCTCTCTGCTTTGTCTAGGTGCAGAAGTCTCCCCTTTTAGGTTGGGTGGAGATGGGTTTTGGAAACACCCTGTATAAAGTAACAACCTCATCTTGAGTCTCGTGGTCCTCCATAGCTAACTTATGATAATGCATCTGAGTAGGTTTTGCTACCAAATTATTTATCTGTTGTTTCACAGAGTTAGTCCATCTATTTGAGGGCCAGAGACCAGCAGAAAAAAGCAAAAAGAACCCAAATAATGGTCCCAAGATGGGAGGAAATAGGAGAGGAGAGGCTGAAAACCAATTCTTGTACCAGCATTCATCTGTCTCTTTCTCTCTCTGATTTTTCTTAGGGCCTTCACTACCTATTTCATGCTCTCTTTAACCCTCCTTGTCTTGTTTATGTAAAGGCAACCTTGTTCTTTAAGGGCTGTACACAGTCAAGAGATGTACACAGCCTTTTCTATTGTACTAGAGTAAATCAAGTGCAGTAAGGATCTTTGCGATTTTAGGAGGTCTCTTCAGACAGTGAAACGAGGGATTTCTTCAGATTAGTGATGTCAATCTCTAGCTGTTTGATGTTCTTGTCAGTGGCCCTTCAAAGGTCTGAGTAGTATAAGTTCGGAGGCCAGCATTTGGATTAGAACTTCTAACAGCAGAAATCATGGGTGATTCATTTTTACCTGGAAAGGAAAAAGAAGGAGATTCTCAGGGAGATTTCTCTTCCCTGGATGTAAATTGTTATTCATCGTATTTATGGTTGGGCCTAGCTTTGTTGGGGTATCTATTTTTTTCATTAATCTTTTTGGTAGCTGGTTAGCTGTGCCTTCTGTGGTATCAGAAGGCATATCAATCCTAGGCCCCATAATGGAACTGGGTCTGGGCCATTCCCTTTAAGGGTAAGAGGGTCCTTCCCCATGTCTGTGGCAAAGTTTTGTTGGTCTTGGTGGTGCCAGAGGCAGTCAGCAGCAGATTTGCCATGAGCTTTCAGCTTTAGAGAGATAACAGTGAACAAGGCATGATGGAGAGTATTTCATGGGAACTCCTTCTGGGGGGTACCGTTCCCACTCTTTTGTTTTTAAAGCCAATTTTTCAGAGTTCTTGTAAAATCAGGGCAGAAGCGCCCACAGTCGCTCCTTCCACACTCATAGAGTCATGAAGACCCTATTTAAGGATATATAAATCTATATTAATAATATTTTGTCAAAGGACTGTTATAGCACTGCTGACAACTAATCAGACTATATAATATATCGATTAGTAATAGCTTCTTCTACTTTTTGTGAGATTACCTCTCGTTTGTCAATTAATTGTTGAGGAAAATTAGGATTTACCTCTCTCTTGAGAATATTGAACAGAGACTTAAATTCTTTTGTGGAGAGCTTAAAATAGGATCTTAGCCAATTAGCAACTCCTAGAAACTTTTGAAAATAATTTAAAATAAGTAAACTCTCTCCCTCTCTCTTTTTTTTAGACCCTTTATCTGTGTGGTTTTTTTATTGGATATTATTCATATTTACCTTTCAATGTTATCTCCTCTCCCATCCTCCCCTAAAACCCCTTATCCCATACCCCCTCCTCCTTATTTTTGTGAGGATATGCTCCAAACATCCTCCCAGTCCCATCTCCCTGCTCTCGAATTCCCACACAGTAGGGGATCCAAACTTTAGGGGACCATGGCCCTCCACTTTCACTGAAGTCTAACAAGGTCACCCTCAATTCCCTATACAGGTGCATGAGTCCCTCCCTTTGTGCTCTCTGGCTGGCGGTTTAGACTTTGGGAGGTCTGGTTGAAACTTTTGATACTCCTTCTAGAAAGGACCAAAGCATCCACACTATGGTTTTCCTTCTTCTATGTGAGTTTTATGTGATCTATACATAGTTTCTTAAAAATTGTGAGCTTTTGGGCTAATATCCACTTATCAGTGAGTGCATATGTATGTTCTTTTGAGATTGGGTCACCTCACTCAAGATGATATTTTCCAGCTCCATCCATTTGCCTAAGAATTTCATGAACTCATTGTTTTTAATAGCTGAGTAGTACTCCATTGTATAAATGTACCACATTTTCTGTATCCATTCTTCTGTTGAAGGGCATCTGGGTTCTTTCCAACTTCTGGCTATTATAAATAAGGCTGCTAGGAACATGGTGGAGCACAACAACATCACTTGTACTACCACCATCAATGGCGTCATGACTATGCTACATTTGGTCCATTAAGGAAGTGTCTTGCATATAATTAGTAAAGACAATCAGGTTCAAAATCATGCTATATTTCAGTCTTCCTTTTATTTTCTTATGTTTATTTTATACTTAATATTGCAGATGACTTCTTGGTGGAATTTGGGGATCATATGTAATATTTTAACACTACTTATAACACATGTGGCACAGAAAGTTATCAATGTGTCTCAAATTCTCTGTCTCTTCTCCATCTCTGCTATCAGCTTCCAATCATAGTCCTTAAAATTTGAGAAGCATTTCTCTTCATGTATCACTTCTGAGGGTACTTTAAAAGTTAATCTGATTAAACATGCAGATGAATTTGTGATTACCCTGTAACTTAGATTTGCCAACTATGAAAGATATGCAGTATTTCTTTTTAATTA